ACAACAACAACAACAACAAAATAACAAGAGTTAACAAGAAGCAATCAGTGGTCACTGGTATCCCTCAGTATCAATGGACATAATTCTCCCAATAAAAAGACACAAACTAACAGAATGGAATTGAATTTGGGTCCTATTGTGAAGGGTGTTATTTCTTTGCTTTCCTTCTCAGTTCATTTGTCATTTGTATTTTGGAGGACTACTAATTTTTTTGAGTTAATCTTGTGAAAATCCACTTTGCTGAAGGTGTTTACCAGCTGTAGGGGTTCTCTGGTAGAATTTTTAGGGTCTTGCTGCATACAAGAAACACACCTCAACATCAAAGACAGACATTTTCTAAGCAAATGCACCTAATATCTAACAAACTATACTTCAAACCAAAACTAATCAACACTTGTGAAAGGAAAAATCCACCAAGATGATGTTTCAGTTCTTAACATGTATGCTCCAAACACAAGGGTATCCACATTTGTTTAAAAAAAAATTACTAATATGTAAAGCACACGTTGATAGTGGGAGACTTAAAATACCCCACTATGAACATAGACAGATCAGTCAGCCAAAATCTAAACAGAGAAATGCTGGAACCAGATAGAACTAACGGAAGAGTATACCTTCTTGGCACCTCATGGGACTTTCTCCAAAACTGACCACACGTGTGAGGACACATGCTCCGCAGACTCACGTCCAGCCACTCAATGCATTGCATTCAATAACTCTTGCAGTTAGACATGTTGAGGAGGCATGGCTACCGATGGCACACAGGTCTTTACTACTAGATATTTTGCCCATTTCAAAAATGAGACACACCTCCAAATTTAAAACGTCAGACTCTCAAAACTCATGATGTTAGCATTGACCCTGACCCTACAGTCCACCAGATAATAGTAGGAAAGTTGTGTGAATACGAAATAGACTTGCACACCTTTAATCCCAGCACTTGAAAGCAGAGGCAGGTGGATCTCTGTGAGTTCAAGGCCTGCCTGGTGTACAAAGTTACACAGAAAAACAAACAAAACAAAACAAAGAGGTAGATTTGCCTTTCTTGAAGAAATTCAAAACCACTGGTGAAGGATTTAACATTTGTTTAAGAATGTTTCACCTTGCCTGCCTAAGGTACCTGATTGGTCTAGCTGAATGGCCAATAGCTAGGCAGAGTGGGGTTAGGCAAGACTGGAAGGCAGAGCTGAGGGGAGGTGGTGGGGGCCAGAAAGACAGGGAGCACACAGATTAACAGAAATGGGCCAACTTAAGTTTGTTTGTTTTGTTTTGTTTTGTTTTTATAGCTAGAAACAAGCCTAAGCTAAGACCAAGCATTCATAATTAATATTAAGTCTCCATGTCATGATTTGGGGGTTGGGCTGACAGTACAAGAAAGCCTGCTACAACCAGCAGGACTGAAAACAAGTTTTCTGGAAACTTCGGTCAACTGGACCGCTCAGTGGCAGAGCTGGGAACTGGATTTGATTCTTCGTTTATTGAATCGTGTCCCGGTTCGGTACTTGGACTTGGGCCTGGTACACGCTAGGCAAGCACTGTGCCCCTGAGCCGCCGTCCTGGCCCCTTCCGATGCCCTCCCACCCCCGCCGGGGCCCCTTCCACTCCTGTTACCTCCTTCCCTGTCCTGGCTCCTCCGCCGCAGGAAACGGCTGTCACTGTCACGGGCAGTGAGTGAAGCTGGGCTGCTGTGCGCCTCGCCCGCTCGCTCGCCTCAGCACCTCAGCCAGGCCAGGCGGAGCGAGGCAGGCAGTTTTCCGGGTTCTGAGGGAGAAGGGGCACCGACCCTGACCCTTGACCCCATGGCTCCCTCCCTGAGGCGAGCCTGGGGCTGCGGCCTGACTGACTAACGGCCCTCACCCCGGCCCGACTGACTGACGGCCTGCCTGACTGACGGACTGACTGAGACTGACTGACTGCCTGACGGCCTGACGGCCTGCCTGACGGCCTGACTGACGGACTGACTGACGGCCTGACTGACGGCCTGACTGACGGACTGACTGACTGACTGACGGCCTGACTGACGGCCTGCCTGCCTGCCTGCCTGACGGACTGACTGACGGCCTGACTGACAGACTGACGGACTGACGGCCTGACTGACGGCCTGCCTGACGGACTGACTGACGGCCTGACTGACGGCCTGACTGCCTGACTGACTGACGGCCTGCTGACGGACTGACTGACGGCCTGACTGACGGACTGACTGACGGCCTGACTGACGGACTGCCTGCCTGACGGACGGACTGACGGACTGCCTGCCTGACTGACGGACGGACTGACGACTGACGGACTGACGGACCGACTGACTGACTGACGGCCTGACTGACGGACTGACGAACTGACTGAGACTGACTGACTGCCTGACTGCCTGACTGACGGACTGACTGAGACTGACTGACGGACTGACTGACGGCCTGCCTGACGGCCTGACGGCCTGACTGACTGACGGCCTGACTGACTGCCTGCCTGACTGACTGCCTGACTGACTGACGGACCGACTGACGGACTGCCTGCCTGACGGACTGACTGACGGCCTGACTGACGGACTGACTGACTGCCTGACTGACTGCCTGCCTGCCTGACGGACGGACTGACGGACTGACGGACTGCCTGCCTGCCTGACGGACGGACTGACGGACTGACGGACGGCCCTCACCGGCCTGACTGACCCGGCCTGAGATCCCTGCTAAGCTCTGCAGCAGCTGGTCAGGCGGAAGGGACCTGGGAGCCGAGCAACCCGCCCTGTCCCGCCCGCCCCGCAAGGCCGCTCCCTCCTCGCGAGCCCACGCGGCCTCTGCAGCCGTTTCTGGCGTGCTTGAGCTCCATTGCTCGGCCCGGCGCCCCTGCGGAGAAGGGCTCCACCGTGAAGCTTGCCGCAGGCACGCACGCACGCACGCACGCACGCACGCACGCACGCGTCCTTTCCTTGTTGCCCGCTGAGGCGGGTACGGTGCCGCCGGGGAAGACTCCATCTCATTTATTCTCTAACCACTGACATTTACTTAAGGCTTCCTTTCAGTAGCAATCAGTGTTCACCCCACAAACGCCCACTCGGGACTTTAAGGGTGGCTGCTAAGAACTGGAAACGGGCAGATGAGCCCGGATGGTGGGTTCCGTCCCAGATCCCACATGGAAGGGGAAGTGTCTGTCTCCATCTGAGCATCAGATCCCTGGGGCAATGGACCCCAAAGAAAGGGGGATTTCCCTCCCAGGAATCTCATGCTGGGCAAAGGGAAAGGTGCCAACCAGAAGGAGACTGCAGGCAATTCTAAGAGCTTGTCAGACCACCTCACCCTGGAGACTGAGGTCCAGACAGTGACCGGGCAGTGGTGGGCGGCACCGCGTCTTAGGCGGCTTAGATGTGCACATCCTTAGCCTTCTGTTTACACTCCAGGCTCACTTCAGGGCCCTCAAGGTGGGCTAGAGGGGTCACCGGATCTCTCTGTCCTCTTCCCAATGGGGCCAGGGTGAATAAATCTTTTTCTGCTTTCTACTATTAATTTGATTTTTTAAAATTAGCTTACTGGGGATGAGTAGCTGAACCTGGCTTGGGACACAACGTGTGACAGGAAAGATCCAGATCCAACCCCCAAAAGTTACCCTCTAACACACACACACACACACACACACACACAGAGAGAGAGAGAGAGAGAGAGAGAGAGGGAGAGAGAGAGAGAGACCTCATTAAAAATAAAATAAAACAAAGGTTGGGCAGTGGTGGCGCACGCCTTTAGTCCCAGCACTATGGAGACAGAGGCAGGAGGATCTCTGAGTTCGAGGCCAGCCTGGTCTAGAGAGTCAGTTCTAGGACAGCCAGGGCTGTTACACAGAGAAACCCTGTCTCAAAGAACAAAAACAAAAAACCAAAACAAATAAAAGAAAAAAACACCAAGGTGGAAACCTTGTCCCCTGGCCTCCAAATGCGCACACACACTCACTCACACACACACACACACTCACACACACACACTCACACACAGACACACACTCTCACACACACTAACACACTCTCACACACGCGCACACACACGGACATACACTCACTCACTCACACACACTCACACACACTCACACACACTCATACACACGCACTCACACTCTCACACACTCACACTCACTCACACACACATACACTCACACACACTCATACACACACTCATACACACGCACTCACACTCTCACACACACACACTCACACACACACACACACACTCACACACAGACACACACTCTCACACACACTAACACACACTGACACACTCTCACACACGCACACTCACGCACACTCACACACACGGACATACACTCACACACACACTCACACACGCACACTCACTCACTCACACACTCATACACACGCACACTCTCACACACTCACACACTCACACTCACACTCACTCACACTCACACTCACACTCTCACACTCACACACACTCACTCACACACACTCTCACACACTCACTCACTCACACACACTCACACACACTCACACACACACACCTCTGGCCTCAGAAGAGAGTGGCCAACTCAGAGATCTGGGGTGTGAGTGGGAAGCCGGGCACACCATAGGAGACCCTGGAGAGGCCGGGTGCGCTCAAGGACCCCCGCTGCCCTGGCTCCTCCCCTGGGGTCCTGCACAGAGGCAGGAAGTGCCACCTGAGGCTCACTTCCTCTACCGGATGCTCAAGCACTGCCTAGCTGCTCTACTCACCCCTGGGACTGCCACACCTCCTCTGCAACACTTTCACTTCCGCAGGCGCCCAACCCCCACCCCAAGCACATGGGGGCACCTGGTGGGGGAGGGGGACACACCGACCCAGAGAAAGGGACACACACAGGAGAGAGGCAGAGAGAAAGATAGAGATCCAGAGAAAAAAAGGGCAAAGAGAGGAGGTAGGGGAGGGGGAGGGAGAGAGAGAGGGAGGGAGAGGGAGAGAGAGAGGGAGGGAGGGAGGCAGCGCCGCAGGACAGTGGGTCTCAAACAGAGGCCCACAGGACACGGGGGCGGAGCCAGTGAACAGTGAGGTCAGAGTGTCTGTGAGGTTGGCCTCTGCGGAGAGAGCCCTAATGTCCCAGGGCAGAGAACTGCGTGCAAGTCATTCAGGAGCCCCTGCGCATCCTCCCTGAGCCATGGACACCTGCGAGGAGCCACCCATCGTGTCCCTGGTGCCCACATATTCCAAGGACCCTCAGGTACTGCCGCGCGCCCCAGGGCACTCATGCAGATGGGGACCCAGCTGACAGTCGCTAACTGAAGAGGGCTGGGTGGAGCCCCACCCCGGGACTTCCTCTTTCTCTGTCCTCTTCCTTTGTGCCTCCTCTTAGTCTCACTCCTTCTCCGACCATTACCCCCACCCCCTGTGGCCACTAACTCTTCGGTCTGGATTCCTTGACTGGGTCGCTCCCCATCTAGGTGAAGATGTCAGCCCAGGAGAGTTGCCTCAGCCTCGTCAAGTACTTCCTCTTCGTTTTCAACCTCTTCTTCTTTGTGAGTGCTTCCATGGCTCCCCAGCCAGGGTCCCGTGGCCCCTGTGGCCCCTGTGGCCCCTGTGGCCCCTGTGGCCGTAGTCCTCACTCTCTTTTCTTCTCCTAGGTACTAGGCGGCCTGATTTTCTGCTTTGGCACCTGGATTCTCATTGACAAGACCAGCTTCGTGTCCTTTGTGGGTGAGGGGGGCTGGGCAGTAGGGGAGGGTCTTCCCGGGGTGGACCTGACCCAGAGCCATCTCTCTCTGCCACAGAGGCCCTCAGCTTTGCCAGCTTCCCAGACAGGGCCCAGGTCTAGTGCCCCACTGGCCACTGCCACCGTGCCTCTGTCCTGTGCCTTCCCTGGCAAATAGGACATGGAAACGGCATGTGGTGGTGTGCGCCTACCATCCCTGAGAGCCAGAGGATCAGGGCTCAAGGCCAGGGTTGGAGGCCTGGCTGGGCTATATGAGCTCCTAAGTCAAGGCCGAACGCAACAACGTGAGGACCTGGTTACAAACAATAATAGCAGAACGGTAGACATTTCTCAAATACTTCTTGTGTCACATATCTCGGACTGGGGCTCACAGACCCTCCCTTCTTGAGGTCCACAGGAGGGAAGTCTCTCGATGGATGGGTGTCTGCCCAGCGGGGAATAGCAGAAACAAGAGTAATAACAAGAAAATGACTGCTGAAGGGGCATCAAAACCATAGCAACTCGGCCAGGCAGCGGCTTGACGCGCCTGTAGTCCCAACACTCCGCGGGCTACGCAGAGAAGCCCCGTCTCAACAGGAGAAGTCCGGAGCAAGGATCAGGGACCAAAACCAGAGGAGAATCTCAAAGGGAGAAAACCCAGCTCAGGGTGGGCCAGAGACAGAGGCCAGGCAGATCCAGAGGCACAGGAACCCAAGAGATAGGGCTCTGCCTGCGTGGCCAAGTGAAGCAGCTACTTCCCAGCCCACCCTCACTGCCTTTTACCACCCCAGGCTTGTCCTTCGTGCCACTGCAGACCTGGTCCAAGGTCCTGGCTGTGTCGGGTGTCCTCACCATGGCCCTGGCCCTCCTGGGTTGTGTGGGGGCTCTGAAGGAGCTCCGTTGTCTTCTGGGCCTGGTGAGTGACACCCCTCAACACCAATGCTGTCCTGCCCTTCAAAGGCCTCCTCTCATCTTGTCACCCCCCTCTCCACTCAGTATTTTGGGATGCTGCTGCTCCTGTTTGCCACACAGATCACCCTGGGGATCCTCATCTCCACTCAGCGGATCCGGGTGAGTTTGCCCACACTGGTATCCAAATTGTGGAGGCTGAGGGGCAGGAATGGAGAGCCACAGAACACCCATTCACAGTCAGGAAGGCACGGAGGGGCAGAGGCACACAGGAAGGGAAAGCTGGTGTCCAGTTGCATGTGGTCCCCGAGACTCATAGGCTAAAGCTAGCCTGGGCAACACAACGTGTTAAAAAAAAAAAAAAAGAAGGGCCGTATATGTTGGCACACATCTTTAACCCCAGTACTCTGGAGGAAGAGGCAAGCAGATCTCTGTGAGGCCAGCTTGGTCGATACAACTCTTTCTAGGATAGCCATGGTTACATAGAGGGACTGGAGAGAGGAGGGTGGGGACAGAGGCAGACCCGAACTGACTTCTACTCAATACAGCATTTACTCAGCTGTGCTTGCCTGGTATCCAACCCTTAGTGCCTGTAATTCCAGCACTCAAGTTAGAATCAGGAAAATCAGGAGTTCCAGATCAGTGTGGGTCACAAGAAGATACTTTTATTGAATTATTTTATTCCAAAATAATTTAAAAACCCGTTGGCGGCGGCAGTGTATGTTTAATCCCAGCACTCCAGAGGCAGGTGGCTCTCTTTGAGTTCGAGGCCAGCCTGGTCTACAATCTGAGTTCCAGGACAGGCAGGGCAACACAGAGAAACCCTGTCGTCTCTAAATGCCTGAAGACCCTTAAAATCACTTCTGAGATTCTGAGGGAGCCAGTGGTTCAGGAAGGGTGGCTAAGTTGGGCTCCTGGGGTGAACCCCATGTGTGGGGCGACTCATTTTACCCTCACCGACACCCTGTCAGCTGGAGCGAAGGGTTCAAGAGTTGGTGTTGCAGACGATCCACAGCTACCGCGCGAACCCGGATGAGACCGCGGCTGAAGAGAGCTGGGACTACGCACAGTTCCAGGTGAGCTCATTACACCTCTTGTTTCGGACAGTTAACACTCCAGGTTCTAACATAGTTCTGACATTAAGCAGCCTCTGCCCCCGCGTGGCCGCAGGTCACCCGTTCCCTCGTTCTCGCGCCAGCCACGCCCCCTCCCCAGGTGACAGAGTCTCTGCCTCCATGGAACTAAATCTCCAGACCCTAGACCCTGGCGGTGTCCTACCCCAGCCCTAAGATTTCTACGCGAGGGATTCCCGCCCCTAGGGGCGTGTAGTCCGGCTCCACCCACCCCAAGTCAGACTCACACCAGCCACCATCTCGGGCTCACTGATGCTCCCCAGCCCACTGCCACTCACACACCCGTCATCCCTACCCGGCTGCCAGGCCTGGCTGCACCCCCACACCCGTGCACCGGCCCTGACTCTGCCCCCGCTCCCCGCAGCTGCGCTGCTGCGGCTGGCACTCTCCGCGGGACTGGATCAGCGCGCGCACGCTGAGAGGGAACCATTCGGAGGAGCTCTTGGTGCCCTGCTCCTGCTACAACTCCACGGCCACCAATGACTCGTCCGGCTTTGACAAGCTCTTCTTCTCCCAGCTTAGCCGGCTGGGGCCGCGAGCCAGACTGAGACAGACAGCGGACCTCTGCGCTCTCCCAGCAAGAGCCCACATCTACCGCGAGGTGGGACAGGCCCCACGGGGTGGGGCCTTGCTGGGGCGGGGCTTCGGGGGCGGAGCCTCTGCTGGGAGGGTGCGGCTAGAGCGGAGGCGTGGCCTCAGGAGGGGAGGAGGAAGCAAGACAGAAGGGGCGGGACCCCCGGAGGTGAGTGTGGCCCACACTGGCGTGGATGCACGCCTTTGATCCCAGCACGCGGGAGGCAGAGGCAGGCGGATCTCTGAGTTCGAGGCCAGCCTGGTCTACAGAGCTAGTTCCGGGACAGGCTCCAAAGCAATACAGAGAAACCCTGTCTCGGAAAAAAAAAAAAAATCAAAACAAAACAAAGAGTGCAGCGCGGAAAGGTAGGTGGGGCCAGGGAGGGTTGGGGCCCTCTGATGTGATTCAGGCCTAAGTCATCAGGAGGCCGGCATCAGGAGGCGGGGTTTGGGAGGGGGAGGTTACAAGTAAAGACCGCGCCCAACAGGGCAGGCCCTTATTAGTGGGCGTGGCCTCTTCCGAGGCGCAGTATCGGGACGCCCGTGCAGCGTGAGCCGGACGGGGCGGGGCCACTAAAAATGTAGGGACGAAAGGGGGGGAACCCTGGGTGACAGGCGGAGCCCTGGGACCTTGGCTCGGAGCACACCTTGGATAAGACCTGAAAGAGGACCCGAGTGAGGGCCCCCGGGGTTTGAGGGTGAGTTCCAGAAGCAACACCGCCTTTACATATTTCCTGCATCCCCAGGGCTGCGCGCAGAGCCTCCGGAAGTGGCTGCACAATAATCTCATCTCCATTGTGGGAATCTGTCTGGGAGTCGGTCTTGTTGAGGTGACTTGGCCCCGCCCCCACCAGTAATTGGCCCATCTATAGGTGTTTGCCCGTTGCCGAAGAAACGCGCCTGCTTAGCGGTTGCTTTCTCTATCTGGGCACTAACTTGGGATGGGGCGGAGACCTGGCTTCAGCAAACTCTTGGCCGCACGGCTGCGCTGCCCCCTCCCCTCTCCCGCAGGTGAGCGAGATGGCGCTGTGCCTGCAGCTACATCGTAGAGCGCTCAGCCGAGAGCCGGTGCTGCCGCTGCCGGGAGCCCACGGTTCCAGCCCGACCCAGGGGCTGAGCGCTGAGGGCAGCGGCGGGCGCTGGGGCGGGCTTAGCAGCAGCAGTGGACGCAGCAGCACCCCATGGGGCAGTTGGGGCATGGCGGGTGTCTGCCCCACATTGGGGGACAAGGCACAAGGCAAGCTACCCATGGCTCTGGGGCCCTGGCCGTTGTGGGATGCAGACGAGGAGCCTCCTGAGACCGATAGCGCGGGCGCTGAGGTGGAGGTCGGGACACAGGCGGAGACCACCGAGCCTCCAGAATAAAGGCTTGCCTCTGAGCTTCCTCCTTCCCAGACTGCCACTCTGAGCGCTGCCAATCACTCCAAGCTCCTATGTTCGCCCACTTCTGGCCTCCCCCTCCGGGTACCACCCTGAAGCATCTCCTTTCCCTGCAGCTCGGCTTTATGACGCTCTCCATATTCCTGTGTAGAAATCTGGACCACGTCTACAACAGGCTGGCCCGGTACCGCTAGCCCCCAGCCCCAACAGCACCCACGCACCTCCATGCAGCCAGGAAGTGTTTGTTTCCTGGCTGGTCTAGACTGAGCCTGGTGACTCAGGACTCCATGTCTGCGGACCCTGGTGTCTGCCCTTACAGACAGCTTTTACTTCCGCCAAGGGACCAGGGCCTGTGTCCCGAGATCCCTCCCCCATCCCTTTCTCCCCACTCCATCTGTCTGCCACCTCCCACATGACACCTCAAATAAATCCCCTTCGTTTTGGTAAAAATAGCTTTATTCTCCTTCGGGAACATAAACCATCACTCTTGGGGAAAGGAAGGTCTGTGGCTCACTTAGAACGGGGACGAGATTAGGAAGTCCCACCCTGCTGCCTAGCTGAGACAACATTACATCCTTAACACTGTGTATAAATATCTCCTTATATTAAAAAAAAAAACCCAGCCTCCACTTCACTTTGCCCCCAGCCGGGACATCCCAGATCAGAGAAAGGATGTGGGGGAGAGGCAGACATGGGGGTGGGTGGACAGGAAGGTACAAGGCAATGAGTAGCATCCCCCACACAGCCTGGCTCCGTTCTCCCTGTGAGGACTAATCTCAGAGTCAGCTCATTCAGTTCAACAACCAAGTTTTGGGGTCCCCTGTAATAGGAGCCAGCGCCGTAGCTCCTGCTTCTGCGACCAGGCCTTTATCATGGCCCCCTCTCCAAATGAGGGGCACAGGGAGAGCCAAAGGGTCCTTCCTGGGAAGCGGGTGTTCTGCGGAAAATCAGCGATGGGGCCCGTCAGTCCCTGACCAGGCGGTAGATGTGGTGCTGGGCTCCGCGCTCGCTGGTGGAGACCTCGAAGACGTAGGCAGTGCACAGCAGCAGCTCCTGAGTGTCCCTGTTCGTCACCACCTGCCAAGAGGACAGGCTTATGCTGTGGCGGGGGTGGTGTAGGGTGGGTGTGTGGTGGGACTGTCCTGCCCACCCCTAGCTTTCAAGGACACCTCTGGCCTCTTCCCACCTCCTAAGAAAAGGGAAGCTGCCAGGCTGTGTATACCCCAGGTAGAAGGGTTACCCTGTAGGTCAGGTTCCTTGGGCAAAGGGGTCACCCCCTAGGCTGAGAGTTGGCAGGGAGGGGCCTCCCTATCGTATCACGTTCCTGAGAAAAGGGGTCTCCACTACACCACAGGCGAAAGGGTCAGCAGGTCCTATTAGTACAACCCCCAAATGAAAGGCGTGTCCTTCAGCTCGTGGCCCCTCGGGTGAGCCAGATGCCTGGAAGCTGCAGTATCTGCAGCTGCCCTAGTGAAGATGGGGGCAGGTGACCCCACATCCCTGCAGAGAGTGCCCCACCCCATCGTGTCCTGGAGGAAGGGAGCTCATCTTTGGCTCCACACTGCCTGGCTAAGGCCTGCTGTGGAGCCCTAGAGGCTGAGGGTTGGCTAAGGTCCTGCCCGCCGGTCCCAGTGTGTCACCTGGAGGATGGTGAAGTTCTCTAAGACACTGTTCATCATGTAGCGTTCAGGCAGCTGGCGCAGCTTGTGCAGGAAGTTAACCAGGTACTCACACATGGGAGAGCGCAGCAGGCGGTACACAAAGCGCCCATCCTCCAGCTGGGCCCGCTCCGTCTGCAAGTGGGGAACAGTGGCTGAGAGAAAGGGCAGCCACCCTAGGAACCAGCCGGAGTCCCCAAAGCACCCTGCCTTTAGACCTGAGCCCCTGGGTGTCCGATGCGGGGCCTCCGAAGCTGCAAGTGTCCTCAGAGGCATGGCCTGATACCCTGTAACTTCCAAATACCCCCATAGTATCTCCGAGCTGAGCTCGAGTCCTCAAGTCTCCAGGGTCCCTCAAGTATGACGCCCTCTCTTACCACACCCTTAAGAACCTTTTTGGTCTTGTGGATTCAATGTCTACACCTTTCAACCCTTGAAATGAGCCCTAGCTATGACTTTTAGTTGCTTATTCCTGTTTTGTTTGAGACAGGGTCTCATGTAGCCCAGACTAGCCTGGAAGTTATCATGTAGCTGAGGACAGACTTGAAACCCCTGATGATTGATCTACATGGTACGGGGCAAGCATTCTACCAACTAAACGCCCTCAGCCTTCTTTGGAGTTAATTCCAGGCGGCCCGACCTCACACGCGCCCACATGCCGGTGTCCCCAGCCCTGGGCCTCACCTCCACCTTCTCCACCACTTGCTTGCCGAAGGAGCAGACCTTGGAGGAGCAGGTAAGCGTCATGAGCTCCCGGCTCTCATATTGGCTGCTCACTCCATAGAAGCCGCCGCCGCCTCCACCGGTCCCTGCCTCTTCACCGCTTGGGCCCCAGTTCAGGTCCGCCTGAGGGACAAGATGGACAGGCACAGATGAGTGGGGGGGGGGACCCAACAAACGGCGACCTAGAGCCTGGCTCCCTGAACTGCACCCACTTGCTAACCCCCACTCCATCTCTCCCCAGTCAGCATGAGCTGGCCGAGCTCTGCAGAAGACCCGTCCACAGTTCCAGGAGGACTAGAGAAGCAGGGTCCCCAGGACAATCCTGACTCTCTATGAACCCAGGGCCAGAGAACCCAACTCTAGAGCTAGACATAATAGCGCAGGCTTCTAATGCCAGCACTTGGGAGGCTTGATGCAGGAGGATTGTGAGTTTGAGACCAGCGTGGTTTGCATACAAGGAAAAACCATGTTTTGTTTTTTTTTTTTTTTTTTTTTTTTTTTGAGACAGGGTTTTTCTGTGGCTTTGGAGGCTGTTCTGGAACTCGCTCTTGTAGACCATGCTGGTCTCAAACTCACAGAGACCCACCTGCCTCTGCCTCTAGAGTGCTGGGATTAAAGGCGTGCGCCACCACCGCCCGGCAAGACCATGTCTTAAAATGGGGGGACAACAACAAAAAAAAGTAGTTGAGGCTAACAAAATGGAGGGAGGAAAGAAGGACTTTAGCTTCCGACAAGGCCTAGTTACTAGCAGGCGAGTTACTCCCAGCAACTGGCGAGGGTGCCACACCCTCCCATCCCCCCTGCTCCCCACTGGCCGTGAAAATAAATGGGTTGACTCCCCACTATCAGCAGAGCCAGGCTCCCCCTAGAAACTCTCTCTGCTTCCCTTCCACAGTTTCTCAGGAATGCCTCTGTGCCTACCATCCAAATGCTAGCCAGGCAGGGCAAGCTCGAAAGCGGCGCCAGCTCCCTGCTGTCCTGACTCCACCCACCACCCCAGCAACAGGACACTTTAAGGCAGGGCAAATCCCTCCGCCTGTGGCCATGGTACCCACAGCTGGGACCCCAGCATTTGGGAGGCTGAGGCAAGAGGACTGTAAGTTGGTCTCAAAAAGGTCTCAGCCACGTGTGGTGGCACACACCGTTAGTCCCAGCACTCAGAGCTGGAGGCAGGCTGGTCTCCAGAGCAAGTTCCTGAACAGCCGAGGAGGAAGGCCTTAGCAGCTGCCTCCCCACGCCGTCAAGAGCGGGAGGAGCCCCTGAAGCCCTAACATTGGGAGCCTGCAGCAACCCACTCAGAGCCATTCAGACCTCCACCCAGAGAGCTTGGGGTTGTGTTTTCTTTTTTCAAGATTTTTTTTTTTTTTAACTTTTATTTTATATGCCGAGTGTTCTGCTGCATGTATGTCTGAGCACCACACGTGTGCAGTGCCCTGAGAGGCCAGAAGAGGGTGCTGGGAATTGAACCTGGGTCCCCCGGAAGTGCCCTTAACTCCATTCCCCTTTATTTATGTTTGGTTTGGTTTGGTTTGAGCTAAGGTCTCTCTAAGCAGTGTAGGCTATCCTTGAACTCTGGATTCTCCTGCCTCAGACTCTTGTCATTGGAATGACAGGCATGTACCATGATACAAGGCTCACAAAGCTTTATAACCAGATACCCAGGGAAACCAGACTAAACTCCCCTGTGGACTTCCCTCCAGGAGCAAAGGCCCTGAGCTTGTCAGTGCCAGTCAGGCAGCTGGACACCAAACCAGATGGGCCTAAGAAAGACACGCTCTCAGCCACAGCTGGCCACTGACAGCCCTCCATGTCCCCAAGATCCGCAGACAGTCAACTCATCCCAGAGCAGGCCTTTGAAAGCAATGGCATCCAGCCTACAAACTCTCCCATAGTGTTGTGTCGTAATTACCTTACGATGAGTTCCATTTGTTTATGCTGTGGGACATGTAATGATGCAAAGGTGCATGGCATTCTTTCACGTTGCATTTGTTTACCTCTGTGAAGCGTGTTACTGTGCCTGCCTAAAACAGCTGATAGGCCTAATAAAGAGCTGAATGACCAATAGCAAGGCAGGAGGAACGGTAGGCAGGGGCAGCAGGCAGGGAAAATAAATAGGAGAGATCTGGGAGGGGAGGAAGAGAAGGAAAAAGGAGAGGAGGGTGGCAGGGGCCAGCCACCCATGGGTGAGAGTAATGGCCGTGGTGGCGCGCACCTTTAATCCCAGCACGCAGGAGGCAGAGGCAGGCGAGCTCTGTGAGTTCCAGGACAAAGAACAAAGAAACCCTGTCTCAGAAAAGCAAGGCAGAAACAGTGAAAGCAAAATACACAAAGTAGGAGAAGGAAAAAGCCCAGAGAGGATCATTTAAGTTAAGGAAACAGGCCAAGCTAAGGCTGGGAATGTAAAGGTAAGCAGACTGTGTGGGATTTATTTGGCATGTGGGTGGCCAGCTCCGAAAGACCCAAGACCGTCCTTGGGACTGACTGGCTGGCAGTGCCGTGACTTGGAACACTCACCCAGAACTTGACCAGGAAAAAGGCATGGGGTGGCCCTCGGTCATAGAGCTCCCGGAGGCCGCCCTTTTTCTCAGGGAACTTGTCATAGATCTGCCGAACGTCCACGCTCTCCAGGGGCGGTGCTCCGGGACTGGGACACTGCTGACTGATGTGGACAAACAGGTGCCTCTGGAACTGCAGAGGGGCGACAGGGTGAGGGGACACGGACCACACCCCGCTCTGTGGCCCCACCAATCTGCCCATTCCTTCTTTGCCCACACTGTCCCAACCTGCTCATATCTCAACCTCTCCCATCCTCTGGTCTAGCCTCATCAACATTTTTCATCACACTCGCAACTCCAGAGCCAACGCGGTCCCCGGAATCCAGTGCCTGCCCTCCTTTTGGCAACATCACCAACTCCCACCATGTTGTCATTCATTTCCTTGAAAAATCCATTTCTGTTCCTGCAATTTACAATGCTGCTCCCAGTAAACTCCTACACAACCCTCAAAACCCAACTCATGCATGTCTTTTCAGGGAAGACTTCACTAGCTCCCTCTATATATGCAAGAACT